GACAAGCGCGCAGGTGCCTCTGTCGCCCCACCGATATCCCTCGCGAGCGCCATGCCGCAGGCAGAAGCCAACAGCGCCGCGCGCGCAGACCGTGATGCCAAAGACACTGCTGCTGACAACGGACCTGCTGCTGCCTTATAGAAAACTAAGTCAATTTCATTGTAAATATAGAGTAGTTTATTTCATGCACTTCCATTATGTTTCTCTAGCTTAATTAGGTCTACTCCTGTAACTTTGGATTATTTTTTTTAAGTACTATTAGGGGGGATCAAGCAATCAAAACTTTCTAGCAAGCAAGCAATTCTCTGTACTGGTGTCTCTCCCCCTCGACACCGCGTTGCTTTTCTGTAATAGCTTTCATTAATGCAATCAAGCTTTCTTTCATTCTGAATTCTCATTCTGTTCTCTCAATTGCTCTTGACATTGGTTTTCCCGTACGGCACTGACAATCTCGTCTAGCGTACGGAGGGGACCTCAGTTGGCGGACAGCAACTGAACTGACATCAGTTGCCTAGCCGTACGTCGCCCTTCCAAGGAATCTCAGGAAGGCGCCGCGTATCAGTTCGTGTGCTGTTGTTGTCCATAGCAGCCTATTCTTGCATCGGCGCCATCACTCGATGCCAGAGCGAGGTTCTTGTTGCCAATTTTTAGTGCTTTAGTTGGATCTTCTCTGTTCCTCTCTATTTGTTGTATTAAGGCACTAAATCTTGAGGATTGTATGTCTATTCATCTGCTTGAATGGTGGGGTTGGATGGGAATTGATTTGAGTTTTTTTATTCTTGTATTTGAAATTGTTTGATATGGTGAAGTACTACTATTATTCTTGATTCTTTTTTCTGCCTCAAAAAACAAAAGCTAGACCAGTGAAGGCTCTAGTCGAACTTCCGGCCACTGCTCCGGCCACTACTCCGGTGAAGGCTCCACTATTCCATTTTTTCTCCCTCTATTTCTTCTATTTTTCTCCTTATTAATTATAGGAAAAATCAAGAACTCGAAAATCCAAAGACTAAAAGAGTGACGCCAAATCCAATGGCGTTCAAGGTTATCCATGGCTGAAGCTTGGTGGTTCATCATGTAAAAGTGGAAATAGGTGGGTGGTTATCAGGAAGAAGAAGATGCCTGAACTCGTTGGTTGAAAAAGGCTGAGGAAAATATAATGATATAGTGTGGGACCCACATACAAAATTTAATTTAATTTTGAAAACAAGATAGAAAAAATCTGATAAAAGTCTCACGCGCCCAAATCTGATCAATGTGAGGTGTCTACGAGATATGCTTAATAGTCACTTGAAGTGTTAAAATAATAAAGGGGTCGGTTAAGGTGTTTATCTGACCGTTGAGGACAACTTAAAGGGGCTATTTATGTATTTCGCCTGATGATATAGTTAAAACCTGTGAAATAAGATATATTGTAATACGGAATATAAGTCATTTTAGTTTGATTTGCACATATTAACCGGAAAAAGTAGGTGGGGGAAAACAATGCATTTTTAAAAAAAAAATTATCTTGATGATACTGCTTTTGAAAGAGCATGAAAAAGTTAACAAAATTTGGTCATGTTCTGAATAATAAACTATTGTTAAGCAAAACGAAACGTAGAAAATAACTAGTATAAATTTTAGTATTTTCCTTTTCAATGTTTTTGGCTAGAATGATTTAATATCTACAAAAACCTTTTATTGCACTAAATATATGCGTTTATATTTATAACTTTAATACTCCTAACGCAGATTGTAGAATATGTATAATGTATGATGTAAGAATGACGGCTCAGATAGTAGAAACCAGGAGATATCGTATTAGATTGCTGTTGAATGTTTGACTCATTAAAGGGGAAGCACTCCTAGCAAAGGACGTAATAGGCTATATGAACTTATCCTGTACTTTCAAAGTACTTCTCAGTGGCTCTCTTTCGTTCCAATGTCTTTGTTTCACTGAAGATATCTTATTGCATGAGTAATTAACTTCTTTTGTTTAACAGATTTTTCCGTTTTCTTGTTTTGGAATTAACCTGTCAAGGTTATCAAATTCATGAATGTGTAAAATTCATACAAGTGAGAAAATGTAAGAAAAACTTGCATGTGCAAAATTATGAACATATGTGAAAAGTAAATAATTACGTACTCAATCATTCATACGAGTGAGAAAACTTGCATGAGCAAAATTAACTTATGATCGTGCACTTAGCTTGTAGTACATGTGATGTAAGCATCCGTCGCCAACTTTCGATCATGAACAGTACCTTACAGTTCCTCCCTCCCAGTGAAACCTCCAACTTTAATTTTTGTTTCACTGCAGCGAGATTTGGGGTGGCAAAATTAGCCCAAACCGTCCATATGCCACCCCTAATTGAGATGCAGAGTTTATCTGCCTCAAGATGAACTTGCACCATCATGCAGTTGGCATTATGTGACAAGGACGATGTCTATCACAGAGAACTCACCAATCATTAATGCTAATGGAGAGAATACAATTCATGAAAGAGCAGATCATATATAAAAACATGCATTTAATATACATCAACCTTGCTGGCTGAGGAGGATGCTGCTTGCTCATCTTGATAAAGCTAGCCATTGGCCACTGGCCAGTAAGATCACGTACTCAGACAGTAGATCCATCATCGGTACTTCCATCCACTCATCAGTTTAAGAACACAAGCATAAGCTAAGACAAAAACTGCACTATCTAGATGTATAGACAAAGGTTTAAGACTCATCATTTACTAAGATGACCAGAAAAGAATTGCATTCGAAAGAATTGCATTAGGCACTAAAAATGCCAATCTCAACGTAGGAGAACAAATTGTACTGATGATCACCTTTCTAAATGTAATTCTAGAAACATGGTACTTTACAGTTCTTACAAGTGGACTAACTGGTGTCATTTCATTTGCACCATTCCGACGGGTTTAAACAGGAACACGTTTTCCACGGTAGCGGTCAAAGAACTGCAGAAAAGAAAACAATCTCAGACAAAAGAAGTTCAACAATAACAGCAGTATATTTTTTCCATTTTCCAACTCCGCATCCCCGATTTCCTTTGGTTACTTCTACACCACGGAGGCCGGTAATGGTAACAAGTGTAACAGGAGCATTAGATTAGAAGTGGAATTATTTTTCATTTGAGATATGACGTTTTTAGTGTTCACTTAAACTAAGACGTATAGTAAATTAAGTGAGCACTGCATCTCATGCAAAGCTACCTTAATGTAGGACCTCGGATATCTTTTAAACAGATTAGACATTCACAAGATTACTTAGCAAGAAACCAAATATATCGTAGCATCTTTTTACCAATTCCGAAATACATATCATCCGCTACATCAATTCACCTGAATGTAGCTGTCTAACAACTGATTAACGAAAAAGGATCTAGCTGCCTAACAATCAGATGAATTATTTTATTTAATTTACGGCATAGTAATGGATGACTGATAAAAGAATAGAGGAACTAAACACAACGTATCACATAACATGATAGAATTGAAGCAACGATAAACACCCTTGCAGAACCTTTTAAAAAAAAGGTTATGCAAGGGTATTTATCGTTGCTTCAATCCTATTCAAGCAAAGCCTAAAGAAACTAGTTGCACTCTGTATTCTAGCAAAGCCTTAATAAACGAAATTGCATTCTAAAAATTGATCTATATAACAAACTGGGAACACAACCAGTGGGATCATCACTAATTGTTGTCTGCTATCACAACAGAAGTGAAAAAGCTAGTAGTTGATTTCCTGCTTTTGAAATGGAAGTCTGAAAAATGGGGGGAAACAAATAAAGGAAAAAAAGTCGCATAGTTAGTGCACGTATTACGGCAGACTATTAAAAAGAAAAGGTGTACCAGGATTACTTCTATATTCTAGTCTTCTGGGTGACCAGTAAATAGTCATTGCTTGTATAGGAAGATAACAAAGAGAATTAGGGAGAAGAGGAAGAGATAACATGTGCAGGGGCATACATTTAAGGTACAAAAAGTGCTTCTGGATCCTGCGTAAAGAGAACCAAGGATTTGCTCATAAACGTGTGTAATAGGACACAACATACCATATTCATGAAACTTAGAAGAAACTTTCAACTCCTAGAACTGATTGTTATTTCTCCAAAGGACCAAATTGCAAACATGGAGTAATTAACATTTATGCTCAAGTGTCTCTACTTTAATCGCTGGGACTGTTATGCACAGAAGTTGAAGGTTTCAAATAGACTGACAATATGGTGGGCATTTTGGGGTTTTGTTCAAATAGAAGGAATGACAATTTCATTCTGTTCCTATTTCAATTCCTTTTAGGATTCTAATAATTCTGGTGTAGCATAGTCGTATTATGACAAAACTTTGGGTTCTCTGTGTCAATTCCAAGGATTACCTAATACCTACTACGCGATGAATCAAAAATATATTACTTCTTTCCTAATCTTAGTTTCCTTCACTGCACAGAATATAACAAAGCTGATAGCAATGAAAAAGATATATGACGGGAAAGACATACCGATCTGACAAAAGGCTGCTGAAAGATCCAGCCTATAATAGGTATCTTTTGCAGGAAAACTGCCAGTGTTGGCCAGAAACCACTGTCCAAAACTATTTATTAGCATCCCGAGATAAAAGTAAAAGGACTGAAGGTGAAGGGCCATCAATAACTTATGAACCCAATTTACCTGAAGAGTACGACAAATCCATAGGCCTCAAGAATCATTCCCAGTATAGGCCAACCAATGACAACAAAGAAAAATCCAGCACCAAATGAAATGGTTCCCTGTGGAACAAGCAAAACAAGTATGCAAGATAGCTAAGCATAACAAATATAAACACAAATGATATACACCAGCTCATCAATATGAGGAGTAAGAGGAAAGGAGGAAGAGAAAAAGCAGGAAAAAAGATACATAAAAGAAAGCAAACCTTGTAATTACTACGTTTCATGAAAAACTGCAATGATGACTTGAGACCAATGGTTAGTGCCACCCCTGAGATGAAGAGGATCTGATTCAGTAAAATAACACTATGTCAGCAGGCAGAAAGTAAAGTAAGCTGGCAAAAGAAAATCAAGGAAAAGCAGAGAAATATTATGATAATGGAAAGACATTAAACTTACATTGCCCATGGCAATTAGTCCCTTGTCGAAAAAGAAAACAATCCCAAGGAATGAGAAAAACACTCCAAATCCCGTCAATCCTAGCCCAATCTCTGTTTCAACAAGAATTCCAAGCTTAACAGACATAATATATCAAATAGCGGGCGGAATGCTTCAATTTTTTAATCTTCCAAGCTAGAATAGCACTAAGCAGCACACATATAAATATCTGGTAAAAGAAACACTATCATAAAAATGCTCACTGTCCGCAAACCAAAATAGGAGGTAGAAATCCATAAGACGCTATCATTAGAAAAATGTGATGCGATAATTGAACAAACTATATACAAATGAATATTCATGCTTCCTGAATGCTAAAACAGGTACGCTTTAAGGTTCAGCATTGCATAAACTGAAATCGAAACCATCTACATAATCCGTATTAGTATCCCAATTACAGGCTACACCATAGCTTTAACTTGGTCAGATTTTAACCAAAATATATATGCAGTATAAATTTACATCTTTTCTTGCATACCGCAGCCCAAATCAAACCCTCAGCTCAAACCCCCAACCTCAAAGTTGGAAGTGGAAGCTCCTTTTCTTTAGACTATCCCTCACTTCGCCACATTCTACGTTTCCATTTACCTCAATAAGGCTAATCTTCAACGCGCATGAACAGTGGATTGTTAAAGAAAATAATTCAAAATTAGAGCAACATTAGATTAGTAATCAACTGAATGACTTACTTTTCCGATCATTCATTTCGAAGGACAACATTTTTCACCAATTCAGATAAAGCCAAATCCAAGTGACACCTACAATGCAGAAAACATCACCAACGTAATCAGTAACCATTGTTATGAATCAAATAGAAAAATATACGACGAGAAAAGTGCTCGAATGAGTGGATATCATTAAATTTAATACAAAGCAACTCTGCTCAGGGTACCAATAGAATATATTATCAAACCTAACAAATTAAATCAATTAAAATCGCAGTTTCACAAAAAAAAACTCATGAATCAGCAATCCTATGCTAATGAACATATAGAGAGAAATCAGAGTCGGATCAAGCATAGCAGCAGTGAGACGTGAGTGCACACATGAACTCACCGTCTCGGACCTGAGCAATGCATGAAATATCAAAAAAAATTAAATATATATACGTTTATATATTAGATTATGCATCCGCTGGATTCAAACTCTAGATCGGTGTTCGAGAAAAGAGAACGTACGAAATGGAAAGATCAGCGATATGATTAAAGCAAGAAAAAGGAGCTGAAGTGACGAATCTGAGAGCTTAGAGGTGAAGGATTTAGAAATGGGGGGATTAATGTAGTTTACGGCGTCGTGTTGGGTGTGAAGCAAGCTAATGCTATTGGCGCGATGGCGTCACTGGGAGCAGTATTTTCCCCTTTTTAATTGAAAGGATGTGAAGTAGTAGTAGTTATTAGTTAGGCAGAATAGCCTCGTAAACACTTGTATTTGTTCGCGTTTGTTATCCCGCTCTTTGTACTCAACAAAGTTTCATCCAGACATTTATAGTTATTCAAAATCAATATTCTGAACCCCTCTGACCGTTGACCGGGTCTATGTGGCAACTTAACAGGTGAGCTGGACAAAATACGTGCATTTCACGCATATACGGAGCGTAAGTACAATTATTTAAACCAAAAAATAATTAAAATGATTTAAAAAAAGGAAAAAGACAAAAAGTTAAATGCAAAGAAAAGTGCTTTCTCTTTACGTTTTTGCATCTCCCCCTCCTCCCTTCTTCTCTCTCCTCCTCCCTTCTTCTTACCTCTCCCCCATTTTAACCCAAAACCCAACTACAATACAGCCGCCACAAATGTTCTTCGTCGCCCCAGATTAAATTTTTTTTTCAAATTGGTAATAATTTATGAAGAAAATTATTTTCTAAATCCCCCATTTTCGGCCCAGATCCCAATGTTCCCAAATTGGGGAGAAAGTTCTTTTCTAAATCCCCCATTTTCTCCCCCCCCCCCCCAAAGCTTCTAAAGACGAGTTTTGCAAGGAATTTCGGATGGTTTTTAGGATCATTTCGGATCGATTCTTTTTTGTAGTTGATTAGTGGTGCTATAGTGAAGTATTGGATGTGAAAAAGCGTTTTAGTTGAAGGGTGATCGGAGAGGAGTTGCAGGCGTTGGTACGACGATTTTTAAGAGTTAAGTTGAAAAAGAAAAAGAAAAAGGAACAGAAAAAAGTGATTACTGATGGAAAATAAGAGTTACATAAATTCTCTCTCATTGTTTGTATCATAACATTGTAATGTTACTCAGTGGACTATTTTAAAGGTGGTGATAAATGTATGGTGAATTGTGAAAGAATAAAGATGGTGAGTGTGGAGGAACGTGAAGGTGGAATGGAAAAGAAATTTTTTTAAAAATAATATTAAAAAATAAATTAAATAATAAAGAAAATCTGATGTGGATACTGATGTGGCATCCACATCAGGGCGTTTGAAGAACACATGCGGAAGAGGGGTTTAGAATATTGATTTTGAATAACTATAAGTGTCTGGATGAAACTTTGTTGAGTACAAGGACCGGGATGACAAACGCGAACAAGTACAAGTGTTTATGAGGCTATTCTGCCTATTAGTTATTACCCGATTTTTAAGAGAGTTGATTAAGCCCTGTTGGCTCATGGGCTGCCAAGCAGTTAGCACTTTGTAATAAGTTGAACATATTAAGAAGAATTAACTAAATAGCCATTTATTCAACCGCTTAAGCTAAAAATTCCGGTATATGTGCTTAATACATGTATAATATGTGTATAACCATATATAGTCGGTGCATAACTTATGTATACGGCCAGCTAGAAAAAGTAATATAGAATATTCGTCTAGGTATTTATGTGAAGATCCTAAATATTAACAGCTTATACATGGTTACACATGAATATGCATATATTATATATCTACAAATTATATTTTTTGCTGGGGCGTCTATTTAGATTAATTTGGGGCTTTTGCATTTATACCCGATTTCGGGGTCACAATTAAACCTATACCCACTTTGCAAAAAAAAGTTTGCAAGCCTACCCACGTTACGGTCAACTTCAGACAACTTCAGACTTATCGAGTCTGAAGTGAATAAAATGAGTCTGAAGTGAAAAAATTGCACTTCAAATGCACTTAAGGCCAAATAGGTTTGAAGTGCAACAAATAATTTTGTGACGACCCAAAGGGTCATCACTTGTTTTCTTATTCATTCTGTGCTTCCGAGGCCTTGAAAACCTCATTTAGGGTCACCTCGATTTGCGTGCACAGTCCGAGCGCGTAGCCGGAAAGCTTAAATATGAAATTCTGTGAAAAATGCTAAGTTTTGATATTAAAATGAATAAAATTGACTTCGGTCAATATTTTGGGTAAACGGACCCGGACCCGTGATTTGACGGTCCCGGAGGGTCCGTAGGAAAATATGGGACTTGGGCATATGCCTGGAATCGAATTCTGAGGTCCCAAGCCCGAGAAATGAATTTTTGTGTGAAATTGTTTTTTGGAAATAATTAAGGAAATTGGAAATGAAATTTGATTAGAAGACTATGGTATCGGGCCCGTATTTTGGTTCCGGCGCCCGGTACAAGTCTTATATATGATTTAAGCATTTTCTGTAAAGTTTGGTTGAAAACGGACGTCGTTTGACGTATTTCGGACTTAAAATGGAAATTTGATGTTTTATGAATTTTGGAAGAAATCATGGATTTTGAGGCTTAATTCGATGTATATGATGTTGTTTTGGCGATTTGATCGCACGGATAAGTCCGTAGGATGTTTTTGAGGTTGTGTGTATGTTTGGTTTGGAGCCCCGAGGGCTCGGGTGAGTTTTGGATAGGCCACAGGGTGAAATTTTGGACTTAAGGAATTGCAGGCCTGCAGGCTTCGCATTTCCCAAACTTTTCTCGCAATTCCCAGGATTGTTCGCATTTCCCAAGCTTTGTTCGCAATTACCAGGCTTCGCATTTCCCAAACTTTTCTCGCAATTCCCAGGCTTGTTCGCATTTCCCAAACTTTGTTCGCAATTCCCAAACTTTTTTTCGCAATTACCTGTTCGCAATTCCCAAACTTTGTTCGCAATTCCCATATTTGCAACCTGCATTTTTCATACTTAGTTGAAATTTGAACCATTTTCACCATTCTTTCAAAACCCAAACACACTTAGGCGATTGTCCAAGAACAAGACTTCTTCCAAATCATTTGTAAGTTGATTTTTACTCATTTCTTTCAATCATTAACATCATTTAACATGTTTTCAACTTAAAATCAATGATCTTCATGGGTGAAATTGGGAGTTTTGGGTAGAACCTATGTTTTTCTAAAATTGGGGATTTGGACCTCAATTTGAGATCCGATTTCAAAACAAATCACATATTTGGGTTCGTGGGGGAATGGGTAACCGGGTTTTGGTTCGAACCTCGGGTTTTGACCATGTGGGCCCGGAGGCAATTTTGGAATTTTTGGGCAAAACTTTGGAAAATTCATTTTTTTGCATTCAAATTGATTCATTTAGCGTTTATTGATATAATTAAGTAATTTGTGATTAGATACGAATGAATTGGTGGTGGAATCAAGGGGTAAAGCTAAAATTGAAGCATGAATTATGTTCGAGGCATCGAGGTAAGCGTTTGGTCTAACTTTAGCTTGAGGGATTAGGAGTTGCGTCCTATTTGCTATTTGTTTCTTGTTGAGTACGATGTATAGGCATGGTGACGAGTATCTATACGTCGGTGTCGAGTATGACCGTGAGTCTTATATTGTGATTTCCATGATTTCGTTGTATTATTCATGCCTTGGTAAAAATTTCTATTTGTTGTGTAAAGTTGTGAAAAGAATTGTGGCCTATGAACGTTGAGGAGCGTTGGCTCCAGTTGTATAATGAATTGTGAAAGTATAAGTGATAATTGAACCTCTAGAGCAGTGGCTCGAGTGATGAAGTGAATTGTAGAGTAAAAGTGAGAAAGAGGAGAGATCATTATGTTGCCCCCTTGCCGGGCTATTGTTGAGTTGTGGTTCCCTCGTTTTGTGTTCTTAATTGATATTACGGATACTTAGGTTGATGATTCTTTGTGTTAGGTAAGGATTATGGTTATAGCTGAGGCAGTTAGGTGTTGTAACAAGTTTGGGTATAGCCGAGGCAGTTAGGTTTTGGAATAAGTTTGGGTATAGCTGAGGTAGTTAGGTGTAGTAACAAGTTTGGGTATAGCTGAGGTAGTTAGGTGTTGTAACAAGTTTGGGTATGACTGAGGTAGATAAGTGTTGTGACAAGTTTGGTTATAGTTGTTTCTTTTTCCCTTGCCGGGATAGTGTAGACCTTTTGATCCCTTGTCGGGACTCTTGTTATATTTGTAAATATTATATATGGATCGGGTTGCACGCTGCAACAATATTTTATATGGATCGGGTTGCACGCCGCAACAATATTATATATGGATCGATTTGCCCGCCGCAACAACATTTTATATGGATCGGGTTACACGCGGCAATAATATAATGAAATGGGAGCGGGTGGTACGCCTACAACGAGATATAACCACAAGATATAATGAAATGGGAACGGGTGGTACGCCTACCACGAGATATAATGAAATGGGAGCGGGTGGTACGCCTACCATGAGATATAATGAAATGGGAGCGGGTGGTACGCCTACCACAAGGTATAATGAAATAGGAGCGCCACGAGATACATGAAATGGGATCGGGTTGCACGCCTGCAACGAGATATGTACTGACAGTGAAACCTGCTTTTATTTCCCTTATCCGTGTTAGAGTTAAATTATTGATGTTCTTTATTATTCTCTTGATATTCTGTTTTTACCTGTTATCCCCCGAAGCATGTTTTCCCTCCCATCCTTACTTGCTTATACCTGCTTTTACTTTCCGCTGTATTTTATATAACTGCACAGGTTTATTTGATAGTCTGGTCCTAGCCTCGTCACTACTTCGCCGAGGTTAGGCTAGGCACTTACCAGCACATGGGGTCAGTTGTGCTGATACTACACTCTGTGCTCTTTTGCACAGATCCAGGTCCCGGACAGCCGTAGTAGCTCGGGAGCCAGCCTTCAGTTCACTGAGAATCCGAGGTAGCCTTGCAGGCGTCCGCAGGCCCGACGTCTCCTCTATTTTTTATTTATGATCTGTTATCTCTTATATTCGAGACAGACAGTGTTACTTTCTTTCAAACGGTTGTATGTAGTAAATCTTAGTAGTCTGTGAATGTTGTGACACCAATTCTGGGTAGAGGCACATGTGGATTTTTCCTTATTATTTGGTTTATATCGTTTAAGACTTCCGCTAAATTACAAATTCCGATGTTGTTTAATTATTTATTTCCTGTTAATTAAATTGGTAGAAATGGATTTTAAACAAAAGC